GATCCTGAGATCAGCGGGGGCGGCAGGCGACTTGCTCGGAAAAACGTGCTTATTGCAACAAGGCTGCACATATTCGAACGGAGTCGGGAGCTCGGCGATTCTGCACCTTCGCGACACAAGACCACAAATGCGTGGCGGATGGGAGAGCGGCCTAATCGCGTTGTCAAATGTGTGGGCCTACACGTGCGGTGGGAGTCAGAGACTCGAGCATAAAAAAGGGATTCGCCTGTTTGGAAAGTTTTGCGGATTGATTCCTGGTCCCGGCAACACGGGCAGGTATCAGGCCCCGCCCTCGTCCCCGTTTTTCGGCGGTCACTTTCGATCCAACCATTTGGCATGGATCAAGTTTTTGCTGTGGATGTTTTAACCCACGTGCTTAGTTAATGTCAAGACAAATTAGGTGCACTTTCTATTCTCTCGTGAAGATAAAGAGAAAGTGAGACCGTGCAGACTAGTGCTTGTCGCCCGGTCGTTCCGTAGCTTCGTCCTTGGCTCCGCCCACTACTCGTGACCCGCCTGACCTCCGCCGCCGTCGGTCCCGCTGGCACTGCCGTCCTGCAGGGAAGGGTCGGAGGGGTTGCAGCATGGTAAAATATGGACATCTAACGAGAATATACAATTGGTATCAATGTTTTTCAGGTTACTATTTAACCAGCGTCACCTGGTCCTCATATATTTCGCGTACAGTGCAGTGTATTGTTGGGACTTACGGACGATGTAAAAAAATAGTTTCGGCGAGTTCCAGCGTCCGAGCGCGCTGGAATGCTGTAACTATAGTTGTTTAAAACTATTATTGCTTTCAGCGCTCGCACGGTGGGACCAACGAAAAAAAAACGGGGACCAGCTGCGCTTTTGACATCGTTAATCTGCTGTTGGATGAATTTTGAATTTACTGATGACGGAAACCGCATTATACACCTTTCATAGACTTTCTAGACGTCAGAATAAGTCACTGACCTAGAATGACCCAGGTCATCATTTTGTTTTCATGAACATACTGCCTAGCGTTATCTTTGTCGCTTATCCAAATGCAAAACTCAGAGCGGTCTTGTATGGTTTTGATCGCCATGGCCTTCAAAAGGTTAAAAAAGGTCACTGACCTTAGATGGGCACGTGACCTTTTGCTTAGAACAGCTACCTAGGTTCTAGGGGCCCTTTTGCGACCAACCTGGAATTTTATGTTGTTTGACCTTACTTGCCCGAAGGTCATGACCAGGAAGATACACTTTGACCTAAGCGAGTTCATGTACAGGTCGACACATCCTGTGAATTTGGTGTCTCTAGCTTTGTTAGTTCCTGAGATCTCAGGGGGGTCAAAGAGAGAATAATGATACCCCCACCCGAGCGAAGGGTATCCAACAGGCCACCCGGGCGCACGTTGAGTTGCTGCAGCAATAACTGCCTGACCCCAACTTCCTTGCCCCCATCATTGGCCTCAAAGCTTTAGAGGTTATTTGAGTTCATGTCGACCGGTGTTGATGGAGAAGCAGATTGATGGCTGGTCAGAAAAATAAATCAGCGATTGAAAATAAATTATTATGTCGCAGATTCGCAAACGTTAGAAGTTTCTCTTACAGTTCCAAACGTACGACGGTAGCGACATCAACACATCTGGCAGTCCTTGTCACGAGGTATGCACGCCATCGAGTCAACTCGCGTGCCTCTGCGGCAGCCACAAGAATCCAGTGAGTGCACGCAGATCAGACAAGCGCCGGATCAAATGATAGTGCGGGGATCCACTCTGAGCTCGGGGCGTGCGTCCGGCGGTCTCTACCCACAAGGAACATCTCCCTTGGGTCTGTCATGAGTGGAAGCCATTTTAAGTTTCGTTTGATGCCAACGAACCCTTGTAAGAAAAAGCATATGATCCGGAACGTACACTGCAAGGTTTGATCCATGTTTCATTCAAAAGTTTTCGCCGACAACCGGAACCTCACGCGTTTTGATGCCAACAGTAGATGTGAACATCCGGCCGGTAGGTCAGCAAGTGATTGATCGGGAGCACTGATAGTGGCTGATCTCAGGGCACTTATAGTGACTGGTATTAGGGCACTAAGGCAACGCTTTTCCGAGGTCTGTCTCTGGTACAGGCGCCGCGGCCCAGGCCGACAGCTCGGGTCACGCAGACATCGCGGACGTGTCGTGTGTGTCACTCTGACTACTCTCCACGCAAGTGTCGGAGTGTTTAGCCACGCTTCGGTCACCGACAGCGAGCACGGACGTCCATTTTAGATATATTGATTCTAGTCCTACGGAAGGATTGAGACGCCGCCTTTGTGTCACGGACGGAGTAAGTGTTCCGGCTATCTTGCTCGTCAATCAGTACCAACACAGCAGACGGCGATGTTGGTCCGGACAGTTATTCCATCCGTAGTTTACTGATTCTGCTGACTGAGAATGCTAGTCTGCTGTTTCGAGAGCACAGAGCCGACCACTTCCAGCTAGGTGCTTCGTGAATTGCAGCGCGAACGCCAGCGGACCTCTGCATGCCATGTTGTCATTAAATACAGATTTTCCACCACACTCAATCTGATCCCTTTGCACGCTTTCTGAATAGTGACTGTCTATAAGCTTTAGTTTCGGTATCCTTTATGCGATGATGGTCAATGCTCTCACCCCTATCATTGCATCCCTCGTCCCCCGCCAGTGTCTATTGGGCGCTTTCAGTGCAATATTTCCCTGGGGACTATATGTATATATTTTGTAGTGAGAAGGCCGGGTTCATGCCGTTGTTCATCCACGTGGGTCTTCAGCATTGATCGGAGTCGGCTTTGAATGCGGCCCCACTGTTTTCCCTGACATCACCTCTGGCCTCCAGCCATGTTCTCAAAAAGGAAACGGAATGTGCCCGCAACTAAAAGCCTTTAATCGGAACGGTGCTTAATTCAAGACCATGAACTGTGGTTCGGGCTGGCATCAGTTCAGCCCACGCGCAATCAACTGACACTGTACGCTGGGGAAACCGCAAATCCAATCAGCAACCCAACGCTGGATGCATATTTCTGGTTTTCAGAACAAAGCCTTCCGATAAACACAAAGATGATGATGATAACAACGATTGGAGATGGTGATCCATTCTTATCACAATGTCCACAGTCACGGCGGACTAAAACAAGCACAACGCATTTCTTCGAGATGTATTTGCATAAACATGAAAATTAATATCTTGCTGAACAGATTGAGTTCGCAGTAGGTGACAGACAAGTTAGAGGCGCAAGCACTTCAGAAGGTATTCACACCAAGATTTCGTTTTGAACGAAATAATCCTGGAGACACAAAATCATTAACATTTGTACACACTTTGTACACGCCCTGCCGCCGTGGGAAAACCCTTCCTCGCGTGGCATTGCAAGTAACGACCCCCTCAGCATGTCCTGCCATCTACAAGATATAGACAGCTCTATATAAAACCACCCCGGCTCTTCAGCGACGCGTAAATAACTAACACGAACCCCCAAGGCGCACAGTCAATACTTCAGTCCTAAGCTCTACATATTTGTGATTCATGACGAGTCTAGTACGCAGACGACACAAGACTTCACGTAAGAATGAAGTTAAGAGCCACCGAACGAAAGGGGGATAGCAAGCCGAGAGCAAACATGTCACGCCCTCGTCACAAGCCCATGGATGATACGACCTCAGTATGTACACACACTGCACATGCGCGTGTTATCAACGAGACATTATCTACAAGTAAACTGGCAACAGTAATATAGCACTCTGGCAGGCGGCAGCGCGGCTCCGACCGACGCTCCCGCCAAGCAGCACACACTGTTAGCTGCAACGCAGGCCACCTGCGCACGGCCCCGCGTGCGGTGTCAGCAAACAGTTAGCAAAAATAGTCGAACACCATCCGGGGGAGATTCCACCGCGGAGAGGAGCTCGCCGGCGAACGGAAGAGCGCGACGAGTGGCGGGCCGGACACGCAGGCCGGCAGTAGGTACGAGGAGGTAAGACCGCGGCAGAGTA